TCTCTATCCTTCATCACATGCTCAGAAGATAGGTTTTAAATACAGTATCCACCATCTAAAACAAGTTTGCAACAAGTTTAATTGGGAATACAAAAATCTTTCTCTTTGCCAAAGACAATATTGACTTCATTTTCAAGTAAGCAAGGAATCAATGATTTATTTACTTTTTGCACACACAAGAAGTTGAGCCATCACCAGTCTCCTAAGAAATGCTATTATTATGAAGCTCTCCCTCCCTTTGGAGGGTGGGGTGGCGGGGAGCGGGGGGGAGGGCAACACAGCTTTCCTATGTTTCAGCGAAATTCCGGAGTAGGTTTCTGCCCAGGCATGCCATGTTGGTTTTGGCATCTGTGCTTATACTCATGGAGTCGCCTCTGCTAGGAATGTTCTCTTGGTCTGTCTTAGTCCGTTGGGGCGGCTACAACAAAATGCCACAGGCTTGGTGGCTTATAAACAGCAGAAATTTATGCTCACAGTTCTAGAGGCTGGAAGTCCAAGATCAGAGCATCATCATGATCAGATGAGAGCCCTCTTCTGGGTCGCAGACTGTATCCTCACCCTGTGGAAGAGCTGGGGATGTCTGTGGAGTCGCTTTTATAAGAACATTGATCCCATCATGATGGTTCCATCCTTGTGACCTAATCACTTCCCAGGGCCCCCACTTCTAATACCATCAGCTTGGAGGTTAGTTTTCAACATATTGATTTGAGGGGAACACATTCAGACCATAGCATCTTCACACCTTCTTTTTTGTGGCATCTCCTTGCCCTCATTCCTATGTTGCTCCTTCTGAGAGCATTCCCTGAAATCAAGGCAGACTTTCCCCAAATTGAGTTATTAACTGAACTGATTTGGAAACCATGGGGCCTCTGCCCCCATCCTGTGGTGACCACGTTCTTGCTCCAGCCCTTCGGTTGCATACGTCTACTTCTTCAATAAGCACAGGATCACCATGACTCCACTGTCACCATCAGTGGTCCCTAAATGTGGCTGCAGATCTTGCTTACAAGAAAACAAAAATGTCTCATGTTTCCTGTAAGGCCCTGCAGATCCTGCCTCCTGCTTAACTTGACCTCAGCCCTACTGCCTCCTTCCACGTCCTGCCATTCACAGTTCCTCAAGCCCTCTAACTCACTCCCATTTCCAAGCCCCCCCACACCTATTCCCTCTGCGAGCCTGGCATGCTCCCCACTCAGAGGTTCATGTGGCTCACTCCACATCCAAGTTTCTTCTTCAAGGTCACTTCCTTGGAGGGGCCTTCCTGCAGTGGCCATCCTAATGAATACAGGGCCACTGTATTCCATCACTGCTTATGGCCCTATCCTGCTTGATATTTCTTTCTAGCACTTGTCAGTAGCTAAATATTTATCTAATTACTTGTTTATCTTTCTCTCCTACCAGAATATAAGCCCCAGGAGGACAGATATGTATCTTATTTACAAATGTCTCCCTAGAGAATCTGACTCTGGAGGTCAGCAGGGAGACCCAGAAATCAATTTTTAGACAGCCCAGGTCATTTTGAAGCAACTAAGGAGAACAACATTTGGAAGGCATTCATTGACATCAGACTTTACCAAGGTGGTGGTGGTCATTGGTGGTTTATTTTGTTGTTGTTCATTTATTTTGTTAGTTTTTTGTTGTTGTTGTTGTTGTTGTTTTAAAGAGAAACCTCTTTCTTTCCCAAGCTCAGAAAGCCCATGACTCAATGTTGTGGTGATCTGCCAGGAATCATTTAAATAGTAATAATGAGAGCTGAAGAGGGTAATGGAAAGTAAGAACTCCCTAGAGAAATGGGATAATCTCTCAGTAATTGAGATATGATTGTATATTGAAGAAAGTATATGCTAACCAGTTTGCTGAACCCCAGCGTGTGAAGTATGATCATGATCACATTTTGCCCATTTTCCTTCTCAGCTCCTGTCACAGAATATTTATGTGGCACATTCCCTAGTCTTTTCCCCACCCTCCATGTCTACAGTATCGTCACCACTTCCTCTTAAGTGGCTTGGTGGATCATGTTGACACATTCAAAGGAAGTAGGATGTAACCTTTGATTGTAATATCCACTGCTTACGTTAGTTTTTTCTGGGCCAGAAGTAGCTCTGGCTGAGAGGATCTGCCGGATCTTGGAGATCCCTGCACTGTTGGAGCGACTCAAGGGCAGCAAGTCCCTGTCAGTCTCGCTGGCACGTGGGGGCCATATTGCCTAGGCTTTGGTTCTGAGAGAACAAGGGTGAGCTGGCCTTTTCAAAGCTTCACAAAGGAGCCTTCCTGGTATTGTAAGGAAGGCAGGCGGGAATGGTCTGAAGAAGAAAGTACTAAGGTAAAAGAAGGGAAATGGTTCCAAATATAAAAAAGTCTGTTGTGTACAGACCTAGGAGAGGAGACAGAAGACCCAAAGAGAGGAAAGAAACCCAAGGCAAATGGGGCAGAGGTGGGAATCCAGATCCTAGAGGCGCCCTAAGTGGTCAGACTAGAGCCTGTGAGGTCCCGGCTACACCGGTTTTCACTGTGGGCTGATCACTGTCTGAAATCCCAAAGTATTTTCCAATACCTTGCTAGTGGTGTCCTACAGGAATAAGAGAGAACTGTAACAGATGTGTGTTTGTCGCCGATAACCATAGTCATCCCGTCACACAGTGAACTGAGCGGTTCCCTCACCCCTTTGGCATTTGTGTCCTCTGACGTTTGTAAGCGGTGGTCACACTGCCTTGTATCCCCCTCCGATCAGCTGCAAATGGTTTGATCTTCCCTCTTTACTCCCTCAAGCAGTTAAATCATTTCCCTGGTGCTCTGTTCCTCCAGCCAATTTGTCCATTTCTGGGAAAACCAGCACCATATCATTCTAGCTGCAGACTCACAGTTATATTCACAATTAATATTTATGGAATGCTAACTGGGTGCTTGGCCCTGCATGAGGCCCTGGAAAGGGCTCCAGTTGCCACTGATTTATGTAGGGACCGCCATGGCGTCCAGGCAGCTGTGTGCTCCCCACTGTCTCAGATTCCCACTGGGTCATTTATCTCTTTCTTGACAGTGCAGTACAGAACTCCAACAACAGAACACTGGCATTAAGAACTAAGAGCAGATATTCTTTCTCTTACCTGTCAGAAGCTTTCCCCTCATTCAAATGTGATTTTTAGTATAGTAAAAAAGACAATTTTATTGTCTCGATCTTAAGTTCTCGCGATGCCCCACATATAACGTTGAGGAGTTTTCAACAAATGTTACCTGCACTTGAAAATTCCAAAAGTGAAGAAGTAATGAACTTGGCCCTACATCCCTGCTTATATGGATGGGGAGGTGAGATGGGGGAAAAACAAACAAAAAAACCACTGTCTGTATTTGTCTGACTCAGTTTCCCCAGTATGACTGAGAACAGACTGACCAGGGACAGATTTGAGCAAACAGAACTTTATTTATTCACCTTGGAGTAAGGGTATATATACCCATACAGAATAGTGCCCCTTTGCTCTTTCCCTCCCCACCCACTGCAGAGAAATAGCTGTATGTTCTTTCATGGCAGACACATTCTTTTATAATATCAAATACATCATTAAACACTTCTAGAAAAAATGGGGCCCGCCACCTAAAAGTCTCTAGATTTGCTCATATTTTTCATATAAACTACAAAGCATTTCCCATTTGCCCAACATATCCATTCGCATGAAAATGTCACAGAGGTGTTTTCAAGAACTACTTAGAAGGGAACTATTTCAGTGGGTCCCATTTCTGTTCTTGTCTGCTAGTTTCTGGCCTGTTCCACTTGGAAGAGAAAAAAAAAAGATACATGAACATGGATAGGGAAGGGATAAAAAGGATACGGAATTTAGGTCAGGCGGGTTTGTCTTTTGTGAAAATAAATCATTGAGTATCCGACCCTATTGCAGATGAGTGGGTTTAGAGGTGCCCGTTATTAAAATATTTTTTTCCCTGTTTCTGGAGTATGATATGTGAGAAAAGCCACATTTCCCCGGAAGACCAGTCTGAGAAGCCACATCCTGGGGGCAGGAACCCAGCTGGCTCATGGGGGAAGCTGAACGGATGGTCGCAAGCCACCCTCCCATTTAACCAGCATTTACTTTCACGCCCTCTCTCCAGACACAGCTTTTTTGTGCACAGGCTTGGTCTTCCTGTTCCTTGCAACTATTTTTTGGCCCACAAAGTCGAGAACATTCAGAGGGAAAAGAAATTGCTGCTACAATGTGGTACATACATTACTAAAAAAACAAAACAAAACAAAAACACGAACCAAAACAGAACCGAAATCCCGTGGTTCCGAAAATGACACATAAAAATGAGCAGGGTTCACGGGGTGGGGACAAGAAGGGTTAGGGCTTCAAGCTCTGACCAACTTTATAACTAGAGGACGTGAAAATAACACGTCAGGGGGGAGGATTCGGACGTCCTGGCAAAGCTAGAAGCTGCCACAGCCAACGGTGACAATGGACAAAAACCAGAGTGAAAATGCTGGCTACGCTTTATTAAAGAAAGGTGGCGGACGGGGCAGATGGAAGCAAGCTCTGCCCCAGCGGGTCTGCCATTCAGGTGTGCCCAGGGAGCCGAGCACCACAAGAGCCAGAGCCTCCTGAGTTTGGGAGGGACCCCCCGGAGAGGTCGACCAGTGTAGGCGTTCATTTCTAATTTCATCAAAATACAGCCAAGGGGCCTCTGTGGCCCCGCGCATGCAGCTGCTAACTAACCTAAGCCCAGCACGGTCTCCGCTCCTCTGGAAAGACGTAATTCTCCCTCCACACCTCTTGCCTGGGTAGCATTCTGCTGAACCAACCTGACCTTCGGCGTTGTTCTGACATCATTTGCTATTCACCAATCACGGATAGGCCAATTCCTGTTCCAGAGACACGCTTCATA